AGTACCATGTGTACAAACAATATAACTGATTCTCTTCTGTTGAACATGTTGGATTGTGTATTGTCCGAGTCAGGGTCCTTTTTATTTTACTGTAACTTTGGAAGTTGTGTTACCAATGCTTACTGTTTATTTGATACCCATTTGGTAATGCAATTAATAAAAACAACAAGGTTTGGGTTCGTTCTTCAGATGACTGTGACGTTAACGTGTAAGCTCAATAATGAACTACAGCTCAACCAACCATATTGTAGTATCTAAGTAATCATCTTGAAATATGACATTATTATTTGTAATATACACACATCTTATTGTGAGGTTGATTTCACATAGGCTACACTACTTCGACGTTAGCTTGTCTACATACTTGAGCATAGCCAATTTAAATTAACCTTAGCGATGCATACAGTTCCTACCTACATAATAAAATATCTCTAAGTTACAAGGATGACCTTATTTTATAACCTCAAACAGAAGCCGTTTGTTCTACAGTATTATCCCACTTAAAGCTTAACACTTGTCTATTTCGTTTTAACCTTTATATCTACAGTCTATGGTTTTAACTTGGAGACTACGATTAGCATCGTTAGCACCGATGTAACTACCACTCGCGTACACGCTAACCCAAGCCTTAACATTCATTACGGAGCTGATTCAAATCATAAACACATCAATAAGTACTCGAATTTCACTTACCGCAAAAACCGCATTCATGCACCGTCTGTTGCAACCGCATAGCGACTCACAATTGTCCGATATATAAGCATGAAGAACAAACAACCACGGCCGGCTTCAAGTTGTGTTCCCTGGATTAACTGAGCTGGCAGAGTCCCTGTAGCTAGCTTCACGGAGCAGGTAGCAGAGAGACAAGAAGCTAGCAGCAGCAGTCACTTGACAGAGCTGTCACTCAATGTGACCACGCCCTAATATATGCATAACTTTAAGGCTTAATATTAATTAAACAGATGAGTTTAGAAATAATTCACCCCCCACACAGTAGTCATGAAGGGGGAATCTAACTATACAGAGAATATGGTTTTTTGAACCACGATGTAAACATGTTTATTTCTGCTGTAAAGTTGGGCATTTTAACATGGGGGTCTATGGAAATTGCTCCCTTCTGCAGACTGCTCCTACTGGCCACTAGATGAACTGCAGTGTGTGGCACTTCCTTATTGGCCTCCCGGCTCTTCCCCAGAGTTTGCCGCTTGAGTAATATACATGTTTTGCAAGGAACATAGTCAAGTTAGCTACCTAGCTAGTAGCGAGCACGTTAGTTAGCATCACATTACTTAGCCTTGTCATTTGTATTAGCCTTAACATGAAGTAAACCAAAATGTTAAACAGTAAGAGTAGTCATGATGGTAAGTATTTTGTGAAACATTTGAAGAGTAGCCTATCGCCAGCTCCAGTTAAATTAACTTCAGAAAATCAAATCTGTTCTGAGAAAAAACAAATAAATGTTTAAAGATAGGAACTTGCCATCCCACTGAAAAACAGTCCGTAGAGATTTAAAGGCGTAGTTGTAGTTCAGTCCAACGTTTCATTTGGATTCATTTGACAACAGTCAACTATTTTCATAAAGAATATATATGTTTTTCAAAGTCAACTTTATTGTCAATCTTACTCAGTTTGTGTTTATAGACAGAGATCAAAAAGACGTTTAAATACAAATAAAATTATACAATTTACAGATATGTATACAAATATATATATCCTATATACACCATCATGTATAATGATGGTGTATGATGTAGAAGGACGTGTGGTAGATAACAAGTAAATATAGAGTTACATACAGATCCATGTTACAGCAAAAGATGGAATAACTAAGAAGCATGCAGTATAATAATAATTACATGCAACAATTAAATAACTGCTTATTATCTGCACCACAATCCCAATCTGCTGTGTCCTGTTTTCCTCCCCTCTGCATAACACCCCATCACACATACGAAACACAACGCAGAGTCAGAGGGTGTTAAGAGTATGTTTATTTAAATGTCCTCCTCTCTACTGGCCAACACAGGGAGCATATGCTGGGTGTAGAATTGTTCCAGGAGGAGGAGATTTCCATGCCATGCAGGGTCTTTGGGGATGGGGATGATGATCGCCTCCTTCGTGGTCCACACAACAAAGTAGCAGAGACTCCGGTCTGTGATGTGCAGCTGCCCTTGGACCTGGTGCCAGTATGGGTGATTCTCCTTGAGAATATATGACCCACCCTCCTCACGGAGACAGAAGGATGGTAACTGGACTGCTTCCGCGATGGTCATGTTCCTCTGGCTGTGTGGACACTTACGGAGCCTACACACGGCGGCGTGCGTTGCCGCTTCAACGCTTCTGCCCATTCACTTTGAATGGGGTGATGTCACGATTCGCCAAACTGCATTGTGGGAGCAATGCGTAGCCTCGACGGAGGCGTCAGCCAATCAAATCCCGCATATGCAAATCTGACATTACAAGCGCTAGCCAATCAAACCGCGTGTATGTTGGGAGAGCCAGACCGCAGTTATTTCCCATATGTCAAAAAATGGAGGAGAAAATTATCGTGGCAGTACTATATGACCAGTCCCTCTTTACATACAGGGATACAAACCGGAGGAGCCAGGCATGGGGGGAGGTGGCAGAGACAGTGGGTGAAACTGGTAGGTTTTCGCCTGTTTGGGGAGTTTATATCCAGTGTACTTCGTTTGAATGGACAGCTAGCAAGTATAGACAGTATATTTAGCCAGCATGGATGTAGCATGAATGCTTTGCTTTGTATGTCCGGGGCGGGACATTCATGTTATTGGTTGTTGGTCGCGTTGTTCGTAAAAAATCCCCAAGCTTCAGACACGCCCACCGCCAAGCGGTAACGCACGCCGCCGTGTGTAGGGGCCGTTAACCTCCAGCAGGGCAGATGGCTGCACAAGTCCATCGGGTGATGCTCCCAAAACACCGACTCACTCACAAAGAGACCAGACTTGAACACTGTCACTTGATAGGCCTGCACAAAAGCCTTCACCCCTTCGGCCCAGTTGACAGCCATGACTCCGTCCAAGTTGTACCCCCCAAGCACCCTCTTCATGAGGGACGTGCATGGAGTGGATGAAAGTCCCGACCGCAGCACAGCACCAAAATTGCTGGCTGTCAACCTGCCCCGCCTGTGTAACTGCCACTGAGGATTTGTCCGCTGTCCTACAGTGGCTGTCTGGATGGCAGCTTGCTGGTCTCTGCTCAGTCGCATTGAGGCAAGAATTGCCTCAAGCCCCCGACCCCCATGCCCCTTCACCAGCTCCGGCACGGTGACAATGGCCTGATGTTGAGGCCGCGGCTCTGGCTCAGGGGACAAAAGCCATGCCATGCCACACTGTGCGCCCCTCGAACCCAGTCTCATGGCATTTCGTGTTCACCAACACGATTTTTAATCTATTGATTCGTGTTCACCAACACGATTTTCCCATTTTTTTCGTGTTGCACAGCACGATTTTAAAAGCAATGTATTTCTACTGGTAATGACGCTCATGGAAGCACGGCATTCGTTTGTGTCGGCTGCCCTTAAAGGCAATGTGAGCATCCATTCTCATTGGATAACGGAGAATTGTACACCCGGAAGTAAGTATTCCCCTTACTGTCGATTGATTTTACAGTGATATCTGCACTACTCATCGACTAAAAAACAGCAGATTATCCTTGTTAATTACACAACATTGATTGGTTTAAATTGTGTGCAATGCTTTTGTATTTTTCCCCTTCGATTCGGAGAAACAAATGTTTTTTCCGAGTAAAGGATGGCAGAAGACACTACACTACCCAGAATCCCCAGCTATCGTTTGGACTACACCATGTGCTCTGTTTGACAAACCCCGTGATAGTCCTCGAGCTCTGTGATTGGAGAGTGTGCTCTGAGGGTTACGCCGAGCCTCGAACAGCACTTAAAATGGGATGGAACCATGGCAGACTGTCCAAAACTGGATTTGAACGGGTCCACCGCGTCCCCCCCTCCCCCACCCCGTCCCCAGAACAACACATGCTGGCTATTCTGTTTCGCAACATGTTCTCTATCTATGGCACGTCTCTACTGGGAGTAATGGGCAGCATTAATATATATACACACATGCCAGCTAAGGTCAGAAGAGCTTTATTTAACAGCTGGTCTTATATTTGTGACCCCTGTTGTTAATTGATAACATTACATTACATTACATTAATTGATAAGCCTGAAACATGCACTTGTCAAGGTTCAGAGGCACATTTTGCAAATATGGCAGTAGCCATCGATCAGCTTAAGATAATATATACTTTATTGATCCCAAGTTGGAACATTTGCGTTACATCAGCATGTGTAACAGTTAAATATGCAGTGGTGTTTATTTGACAGAACTGAATGGAGATTGTGCAGATCATCTCTTTGGTCAGAGACTCATTGTGATGTTTGTTACAGCCTCACTCTCATAATCCATTTCCTGTTATGTTTTTGTTTTTTTACCATGTATCTGATCACAGAGAAATGTTGTGCTTTTTTTGTTGTTTAAAATAAAAGCAATAATTGTGGCTTGATATTGAGTAAGAACATGTTTTTATGAACCACACAGCTTCCGGTCTTCCACGACCCGACCGGAGAAAAAGACGTGATGCAGGCACGAAACACATTACCAGTAGAAATACATTGCTTTTAAAATCGTGCTGTGCAACACGAAAAAAAGGGAAAGATCGTGTTGGTGAACACGAAATGCCATGAGACTGGGTTGCTAAACGATAGCTGGGGATTCTGGGTAGTGTAGTGTCTTCTGCTATCCTTTACTCCGAAAAAATATTTGTTTCTCCGAAATTATTTGCGTCCCTTTATGAAGCTGAAGGAGCCTAGGAGCGTCACAACTGCACGCCACGGGACCCTGACCAAGTGTCGCTCCTGGACGTTTATGGAGTGAGAGTGTGTTGCTTTAACATGTTTATACTTTATTTTTTATAAACTTTGTTCATTGATTTTTGTACACAAATTAAACAGAGATGACAGAGCGGTTGTGATTGACAGTATCACATTACAGTTGTGCAGATCACATAACATATGATACATTACAACAACAAGACAAACAGTCGGCTTGGTCACACAACAAAATACAAACAAACACATAACCTCATTCTCTTCAGGTAAGAATACAAATAAATAAAAATGTTTCATATAGACTATATATATATATAAAATAATAATAAATATATATATATATATATATTTGGGTCTTATTCCGGAATATCCGGGAAGGTACATGTTTATACTTTAAGAGCGTAGTGGACATATATAATCTGTCAGATGCTGTTCATTGAGTCTGAGGTGTCTCTTTGAACTAAGATAAAAAGCAACCACTTGATGGCAGTGTATCATATGTATCTACTCCGATTGAGTCTGTAACTTTATAACTTGAATATGAGGATAGCTTTTTATGTCAGTGGTTGATAATTACACTGTTATTAAAGTAGCACCTCATTGTAGCATATCAATTATTTTCCTAGAGTTGCAGTCACTATTTGTCACATTGAAACCACAGGTACAGCATGACCATCCACTTAAGACTTGAGTGCTTTTTATTTGTCATTGAATCATGAAACGTGTTGTTTTATGTTGAATAATGTTTCCTTCTATATGATTTTAGAATGTGCATTTTAGCCACATGCTGTGTTCACTTGTTTAGAGCGTGTTATAGAGATATTTCAATGCCCATCACCTTTCTGTGTGATATGTGTCTTACCTCATATTTATGATGGCAGTGTAACTGTTATTTGCCTTTATACATATCTGCTTTTCAAGCTATGTTTGAATGTTGGCCTTATATGGTAAAAATATAGTTTCTTAAAAATAATTGAATAATTGCCTTTTGGAAGACTGTTATCACCCCCTGATGATGTTTTTATCTGTTTTAACGACCTTTTAGAGCGTCCTGAACCACACAAAAAACACCCATCATCAGATTTCCAGTGATGAACTTGAGGAAATGTAAGCAGTTTCCTGCTTCCATGGGCACATGACCTTTGCCCTTTTTAAAAACTCTTCCTGCTATTGTGCCATGTGTGGACGAACACCCCCTTTTCCTTTTTCTGCCTCCTTATCATTTAAACTGTTGAAAGTGACACATTCCAGATGGACAGCAATGGAAGTAAATGTAATAAAGACTGTGAGAAGGGAGATAACTAAGTGCAAGAGCAGCAACATGTCTCTTTAGCAAAATAAACTTAGGCTTAAAAACATTCACGTCCCGAAAGCTCGTTTCTGCTCTTTGTGATAAAGTGCAAGCTCAGGTTTTGCAGCTTACATGCAAACAGTGTTTTATGAAGTTTTATTATATGTTACAGCAAATTTAGACTACAGCAGCATCCTGGAACAGATAAATAAGAATTAAGTAATGATTTATCTGTTGAAAATTAAACACAAGATGTTGATGAGGATTATCTGGCACGATCAGCTTTGTTTTCACACATTCCTGCTTTGGCACGGTTATTCTGTGCCAGGACACCTTGGAGACTGCCATGAGTTCTGTGAGAGTTGAGCAGCTTTAAACAACAACAAAAAAGCACTTCAAACATTTCCTGCCTTCCTCTGTGATCAGATACATGGTAAGAAAACAAAAACATAACAGGAAATGGATTATGAGAGTGAGGCTGTAACAAACATCACAATGAGTCTGACCAAAGAGATGATCTGATGATCTCCATTCAGTTCTGTCAAATCTTTATAGAAAACGTCTCGTGAAGTTTTCTCATCTCAGCTTCTTTTTATTTATGATCCAACATCGGACTGGCTGGTGCTGGCGTTACTTAACTTGCGTTGCTTCCCCGAGTCTCCCCCTCCTCCGTTGGGAGCGTTGGTCCCGGCTCCCAGCTGGTTCCCCGGCTCTATCTCTGGGTAACTGGCTCAGCACCGTGTTGACCAGGTTGTCTCGGAAGCTCTTGCTGAGGAAGTTGTAGAGGATGGGGTTTGCCACGCAGTGAAAAAGAGACAGGCTTTGCACCACGGTGAACGAGAAGTACAGCACGTGCACCGTGTTGCAGCTGAAGATGAAGGGGTCGATGTCATCCACGATCATCAGGAACACGACGAAGTGGTAGGGCAACCAGCACAGGACGAACACCAGGGAGTAAACGTGAACCAGCCACACGTCCCGCCGGCCCTGAACATCCGGCGCCGTCCGAACCGCACGAGCGATCAGCACGTTGCAGGTGATGATGACGGCGGCGGGGCCCAAGAACTGGAAGACCAGGGAGAGGAAAACCACAGAGACAAACCACTCGGTGTGGTTGTGTTCAGGCACAAAGTAGCAGCCCGGCTCGTTCCTCTCCAGAAGAGTGATGTGGACGTTCTCCAGCAGCGCCAGGAACAAGGAGAGCACCCAAAGGCCTCCGCAGAGCACCCATCGGCGGCGGCCCAGCACGGGGAAGAAGGCGGGAAACGAGGGTCTGGTCAGGGACAGATAACGCTCCGCGGTCATGAGGGCCAGGAAGAAGGAGCTGCTGTAGAAGTTGACCGTGTAGACGAAGTAGGTCACCTTGCAGAGGAAGTGACCCCACAGCCAGACATCGTCCATGGTCACCTCCATCATGAAGAACGGCAGGGTCACGATCACCATGAGGTCCGACAGGCTCACGTTGAGGATGCAGAACAGGACCCCGTTGGCAGAGTGGCGTCGGCGCCAGTTGACCCAGATGACCAGCACGTTCTCCAGCAGGCCCACCATGAAGATGAAAAGGTAGATGAGGAAGAGGGCGATGCGCCGGTAGTCTCTGGCAGAATCCAGGTCAATGGTGCAGTGGTCGAACAATTCCAGCGTGGCGTTGTGCTCGTGAGCGCTCATGGTCTGGAGTGAAAAGCAGAGGGAAAACTGTTTCATATAACTGGAAATTGTTCAGTTTTATTCTGGGGTTAATCTGATTATGTTACACAACAGAAACTCAGGAGGAGGGTGGGAGACGTGCTGGGTTGGAATATTACAAAAAGTAGTAGAGTAGGATATTAAAGCCTCAACATATGAGAAGAAGCAAAAACGTCAAATGGAAGTTATAAATGTCTCACTTTGAGGTGCTGTGAGTAAATATATGGTTTAATATTTTAAAAGCAATACATCTCAGGAGGCGACTGGTGTTACCGCAGCTTTACAAGCATGTCGGAGAACAACTTCAGGTAGCATTAAAGCGTGAAATACACTGTCTAGAGAGCATTTGATTTGTCCTTTCTAAACCAATGTAGGAACATGGTGGTGCAACATGTATTCAGACTCCATGATGAGGACCCTTTCCCCTATCTTTATATTTTACACTAATATAAACATAGTTCTGTATATTTTATTACATTTCTGCGTATTGTTCCCCGAAATACTGTACGATGGCCCTTTAAAGAGTAGACTACTGCATATATTTAGCAGCACTGTTGTACTCACAAAGGACTGAATATCAAGACATTTTTTATTACTGTAGTGTACATGCATTTTTTCTCTCTAAGAAAAGCATGACGCCTACATTACCCATAATGCCACTAAAAGTCTGATGTCTAGATGGTAACCCTCGATTTGCAAAACTCTTGCAAGAGGATTGAATAGCTAAAGTTAGACTTTGACCTCAAATGGATAGGCTTTCCATTTTATTTAGAAATGTATGGTGGAAACAGTTTGTTACATCACAACAAAAATATATTACTGTACCTTGTTGTGAAGAGGCGCGTTGTGTAGATGAAGAGGGGTGAGGGTCCCTCCAGAGGCCTCGCTGACTCCTTCCAGCTCTGATGTTAACGGATATCTGAGCAATCAAGCAGCAGGAGCTTCTACCCTCCCATTTCTCATTAACACGCACACACACACACACACACACACACACACACACACACACACACACACACACACACACACACACACACACACACACACACACTCACACACACATGACAGGACATCCTCAGTTGGTAGTGGGGAGTGGTGTAGAAATCCAGGAACGCCTACACAGGTTTTATGCAATATAAACATGTGTTTCAAAAAGTATATTAAACACTCATGTGAGAATAGGACATAGAAACTTGGGTGTTGCCATTTTCTGCTGTTTCTCGTCACTATTGAATTGAATTCCTTTATTCAAATTTACAAGCTGTAAATTATTTCGTTCTTAATTTTATTGCTCATAAGTAAAAAAATATTAAATGGAAAAGCATTATTTAGAATTTATTGTCGGATAATAGATTGATTGTTAAATCATTCTCCAATAAATGTTATTTGCTGCCGATATATGCCACATAAACAATATTATTAGATTATTAAGAAAACTTGTAGTTGTGTCACTCTGGTGAATGTTTACTCTTGGAATAATAGAAGAACAAACAAATAAAGTAGAAATTAATTAATACCAGAAATCTTATTTTACATAAGACATCTGACAGTATCATGGAGAAAAAGTAACCTATTGCATTATTTTGATACCAGCCTGCAGCGACATGATTCAAAGGTTTTAGGATTCAAAGATTTGTATTGTCATATGCACAAAGTGTAGAAATGGCAATGAAATTATTCTGACCTGAGCTCCTCCAACAATGCAACATATATAATAAAATACAAAAATACAACAAAAAAAAAGTTGTGCAAAATTAGATCTAATATCTACTCTTCCCTGTCTCTCGCCTCCCTAGAGTCGGTCAGAGACCGCCTGCTGAGCCACGTGTGTCCTCAGAGCCTGACGTGTGGGGTGTGTCGCCTCCCGCAGCTCTCCCTGTGCCCTCTGCTTCGTGCAGTGCTGCATGCCGGACAGACACATGGCGGCGCACGCAGAGGAGGCGGCGGCGACGAAAGAGCGGGAGCGTCTGGCGCTGAGGGCGTTCAGAGTCGGGTCGAACGGGGATGGAGATGGAGGTTCGGCAGGAGTGGAGGAGCTGCACTGCTTCCTGCCCGCAGTCTTTCCGCTCCACCTCTGCCTTCCAGTATCACCTCGGCTTGCACAGCACTGAGGCCCTTGGTGGAGGAGGGGGGGGGTCCCGGGCTGGTTTGGAAAACGTAAAGCTGACCTCGCCTCTTCCACCTCTCAGCGTGAGGTTGTGAAAATGAGCAACCTGGGTTTGGGGATGGATGAGCTTCAGCTTGCCAGGTAAGTTTTTTCAAGGTTCCATCCACAGCCTGCCCGGGGGTCCTGACCAACAGGAGCGCGGGGCAGGACATGGGGGTCGGGCAGCGGGGGTCCGTGGGAAATGGTACCGGTGTCGCTACTGTGGCAAACGCTTCGCACACTCGGGGGAATTCACCTACCACCTCCGCATCCACACAGGAGAGAAACTCTACCAGTGCAAAGTGTGCCTGCGCTTCTTCAGAGGCCGCTCCACCATGATCTGCCACCTGAAGACGCACGCCGGCGCGCTCAAGTACCGCACCGTCTGTGGACTCTTCTTCTCCATGCTGAAGCTGGTGGCGTCGCACATGGAGCTGCACAAGGACCACCTGCCGCTGGACTTCAACTTCGAGCAGACCTTCATGTACAACCAGAGCCGGCCTTAGACTTTTGGGGGCCCTAAGCGAGCTTTGGCTTGGGGGCCCCCCTCACTCTTGCGCATTCTCATTACACACAACACAGAACCAACTTTTCTCTTATGATGTTAGCATAAGCACACATATTGTATACATAAGCATGTAAACACTGTGGACCTAACCTCCTCTAGGGGGGTCCGGGGGCATGCTCCCCGGGGAGATTTATTTTTAAATATTGAAGTTAAAAGCATCAATCTGGTGCACTTTGAGAGCAAAATTAAGAGATCTATGGATACATCTCGCAACACCTATATGAAACAGAACTGTAAACAGATTTTTATTTATGGATATTTTACAAATCACTCCCCTTTAAAACTGTATTCTTGTTTTGTCATATAGTATTTCATAACTGTTTTTTATTTATTCTCTCTGGCTGTCCATCTCATAATGTTCATATAGAAACTAGCTGTCAAAAGGAATATCATTCAGAAGAATTATAATTTCATGCAAAAATATGTCACAAAAAGAGGTTGCACATTTAAATTCAGGTGTTGTTATGGCAACGTCAGTGGCCAAACAGCCACATGTACTGCTGCAAATACGTTCAAACATGCTGTCGACACATAAAACAGTGGCAACTATGCCACCATTTCAGCTGACTTTTTGTCAGAAATACTGTCCCATAACATCCACATATTTCAGTGCTAGGTTGATGCTTAGCTAAGCTAACTATAGCCGCTTTCACACCAAGTACTTTGCCAAGTGCCGGCACTAAGTGCCCCGGCACTTAGTACATGAACTAAGTAAGTACAGATCGCGTTCACACCGGAATAAGTTCCCTGAGGGAACAAATGAGCCACTGATGTCACTTCGTCTTCTTCTGCTTTGGGTTTACTGGCAGGCCGCAAACCACTTCACAGCGTATACTGCCACGCGAAGTTCCCTGCCGGAAGTCCCCGGAGTTGGGGACTGGCTTCAGTAGAAGCTGCTGGGACTCCCAACAGCTTCTACTGAAGCCTTCCGAGTAAATTGGCAGAACGCCGACACCTCCTCATTACTCCACCGCTCCCATGTTTTTTTTTTGTGTTGCCATAAGTTATTCTCTCTCCGTTGGTGTCCGGGGCTAATGCTAATAATGCTAATGCCAGCAAATACAATGGCGGCTTCACAACACTTTTCATAGTTTTACGGGGCGTGGTTTGCAATTCGCCGAGCCAATATAAATTGGTACTTTTTTCTCCCCAGGATAGTACCACCTCTCTAGCAGGCACTAAAAATGGGGGTAAAAGTTCCCGGCACTAAGTACTCTTTTTGGTGTGAACGCAAAATAAGGGGTACTAACGGACCTAAACGGGAAAAGTACGGGGAAAAGTACTCGCTCGCGTGTGAACGCGCCTTATGAAACACTTTAACTGACAGGACTCAGGATCAACTGTGTACTGTAAGGCAGCTTCTAACTTCATGTTGAACAGTAAGTCAACATTTCCCAGAGAGCTTTCTTTGAAATCACCAGGTAACGCTAAAAAACATAACATTTAGATTGTATGACAAAGTGTTTATTTAATATATCTGGCTAGCTATAGCTACTTGCTAACGGTTTAGCTTACCCCCGCAATTCAAAGTAACGTAACGTAGCTGTAATTTATGCTTTGCTTACATGTTCGCATAACTTGGAAGTTTACTGACATTTACATACCTTGTTTACCTGGCTCAAGTGGTGGCTCTGGGGTTGTTGTGTGAGCCACCACTTGAGAATTGTCGTCTTTTTAAAAAAAATGTTTTCTTATGTCCATCTTCAAAAACTCTGAGTCCGGCTGACAGTTTATTTTAAACATTGTCACAGCTCACAGGATAGGTACCTGTCAGCCAATAAGACAGATGTTTATTTCCATTCAACTCTCTGGTTGGTCTGGTGTCTTGCCTCTGTTGCATTCACTGAACACGGGAAATTACATTCCTGACGTCCTCTCTTGTGTCATGATGAGGTTTAGGTAGCACGGTTAATGTATTATATTCAGTGGCGTTGTTATATGTACAAAAGTGGTGGGGCACAAAAAACTTAGATGTCTATAAGCTTCTGCAGTGAGGTTCATGGCTGGTGAGGCACTGGCACTGACTCTTCAGGTTTACAAATATTATATTTTGACCTAAATCAAAATATAATATTATTTTCAAAAGCTTTTTTTGTCTGATGCTTCAATTAATTTTAAACAGACAGTTCAACAAAAGGATACCCAAAAAAAATGTAATTTTATCATTTAAATATTGAATTGTTCTCTCTTAGTAAGATCCCATTTTCAATAAAATTGCAGTCTTACCTTGACTTGAAGATGAAGTCCATTTGCTTATCCTTCTGGACAAAAATCTCTATTACTTTTTTGTAAAAGTCCTCCTTATGTTCTTGTAGTTTCAAAAGTCTATCATAAATCTAATCTAATCAATAGATTTATGATTCGAAAATTATAAAAGTAGGGTAGACATGTGGATATTATCCGGCTGAACAAAACGTGCATTTATCTAACAGCGACGTTTCCCACAGACCTTATTTGGAGCTATTTTCTAAAATCCTATGGAGAAATCTCATTGCTTTTTTGTCGAGGGAAGCCATGCGCAGCTTACTTCCGGGTTTTAGGACGCCTCACTGCAGCTCTCTCTCGTCTCCTCTTCACACACCACACTTTTCGCGGCACACGTACTTACAGCCAATCAGCTCTGAATGATGTGAGATGACGTATGGTGGGGATGGCAGCTCTATGCCCCTATGGTCATTATTTTTTTGCCACACACATTAAATAGGAAAATATTCTGAGCATGCGCAGTGTAGTTTTTACAGTCACCGTTCACTTAGACAGAGAGAGGGAGGGGCAGGATCGGGTTTTGTCCCACATGGCTCTGAACAGCTCAATAGGCACACACTGTAGACACTAATTAGAAGAACACAGACTAAAACAGCAATGTACAGACGAATCAGATGATTAAACATGATATGAAAATATATTTAATATTTTTTTTAATTTTTTTTTTGCATTTTGTTGTAATCATTATTTGTAATACTTTCTGCTGACACTAGGTGGGGCTGTGCCCCTGCCCCTAATGACCAGTCGCCACTGCTTATATTATTGACTCAATAATATAATACATGACTTTGAGAGTAGGCAATCTAGGCATATTAACAACATTAATTAAACATACTTATCACGGCGACGGTGTACTGAGATTATTATTATTTTTTAAAAATTGCCACAGGCCCCTTAGTGGCTGCGGGGCCCTAAGCGGC